CCTTTTCACATAGCCTGCCCAAACCTCTCTTTCTGAATTGCTCTTTATCCCTAGTTTCTGTCTCCCTATGCACCCTGCTCATCTACTTCAAAGCACACATTAAAAACTGTAACCACGTGTTTGTTGGTATGTCATCTGCCTCTCCCCACCGTGAAAGTGGTTCAGGAAATAGTATCTGTCACATCTATTGCCGTCATTTCTAGAACCTAATCCAGAATCTAGCCTCAGATGACTACCATGGAAAGAGGTACTGGAAAGAGGGACATAGTCTCCTGTGTTGCTGAGCAGCTATTTTCCAGCCTCCAGACCTCACTTTCCTAGGTTACACAATAATCTACTTCTTTTTTTTTTTAATTTAAAAAGACCTTTTCAAATCTGACTTTTGAGGCTTTAATGAATATAAAGGCTCAGCTCTCCAGGGACAAGGACATCCCCAAACATATCTTTTGAAATTAAGGACTGCCTTGGGAAACAAACACTAGGGAAGAGTGGGGAACCTTGCCACACTCAGAAGGGAATACAGAAACAGGGCTTCACACTTTAAGAAGAAAGAACCAAAAAAGGGAAGCAGAGATTGATAATAGAGGAGTATAATGAGGTGGCAATTTTGGTTTCAAAAGAATGTGATTAGCTCCTAATGACTGCCACCATTCCCTGGTCAATCTACTGTAACTAGCCACTAATGTAAAAATAATGCCCCTGGCTCCTTCACTTTGAAGAGGAGATGAATCTCCCTTTCATGCTCTTACCCCTCAGATTTGTTTTCTTGAAGAGATTATCCTCTATTAGGCTGCAACTGCCTAAAAGGGGAAACATATGGGTGATCAAAGTCTGCCAATTAGGGGCCATTACCACCTCCCCTCGGTGGTCCTATTAGGAACACCTTCTGTATTTGTCAACATTGTCACAAAACCCCACACCCCATTTCTGGTGCCTATGTGTATTCCCATGGGGAAGTAGCCCTCAGTCATTAACAACTGTTATGTTGGGTGTAGGATTTCTCTGAGATAGTGTAGTAGGAAGGCTGCTTGTTTGTTCCCGGCTGCTCAGGCCCAAAATAACCACACAGAAACTCTATTAATTAAATCATTGCTTGGCCTATTACTCTAGTGTATTCCTAAAAAACTCTTACATATTAAATTAACCCATTTCTATTATTTTATATTTTGCCACGAGGCTCGTGGCCTACCAGCAAGGTTCCAGCTGGAGCTCACATCTTTCTCCTCTGGCAGTTCCATGACTTCTCACTGACACCCCCTTCTTTCTCCCAGAATTCAGTTTTCCCTGCCTAACTCTATTCTGCTTTGTTCAGGCCCAAGACAGTTTCTTTATTAAGCAATGGTATTCATAGCATAGAGAGGGGAATCCCACATCAGGATAGGTTTGCCTTGGCTTGTCTCCAAGGCCATGTTTTGGTGTTTAGCCACAATTCAGAACTCTAGGATTGGCAAGATGCACTTTCATTGGATGTCTGCAGTGTTACAATACAGAGAGACCATGCTTATTCTACTGGGTCCATGGAGGTAGGCCAAGACAAAGCTCAGGGCCAGAGCAAGAAGAAATCCAGCCAGCAATGCTGCTTAAAGGACAGGCAGGAAACTGTGGGACAGTGAGCAATCTGTCACTGAGGTTGACACTGTGAATCAGCTGATAAGCTGCTTGAAGACCACAGTGGGCAGGACAGTTTTCAAGGTCATGGATGAGTCTGCAATTCCAAGATCTTTGTCATCCACAGACTCAGAAGCCACTCAGTTATTATTCATTTTATTCATTCCAAGCTTGTCATTCTCACAGTATGAAGCACAGTGCTAGTAGTGGGCCCTGGAAATGGAATTATAAATGTGGTGTTCTCCTTTCCCTGAAGAAGCCCATGGCCACTTTGGAAGGTAGGCTTTTATGTTCTTAGATGTAGATGTGTCCATGTGGTAATATATGGAAGTGACTGGCTCTAGCTGAGAATGCAGTAGGGAAGGGTGAGCATAAAGACCAGGCAAGGGAAAAGAAGCTTGGATGTGTTTGGAAAGATTCTTAGGGATTTTACAGGAACCTCGAGTGGAAAGGACTTTTAAGTAGAAAGAACATGTTTAAAGTCTCAGAAACCTAAAGGACTTTGTACATGGTCAAAATAAGACTGAAAGAACGTTTGGGGTGAAGTCATAAAGGGCTTGTTATGAATTTGGAATTTACTCAATAAATTCCAATAAAAAAAGGAGTAGCTGGGTCCTGTTCACCATTTATAAAAATCACTCTGATTACAATGGAGGATGAATTGGAGGAAACAAAACCAAAGCCATGAAATCCAAAGGTAAATTATCTCTGCCGGGAAATTTGCCATTTTCACAGTGAAATCTCATAGGAGCTTTGATCATGGCCAATGTCCACATTTTATCACAGACAGTGACCTATCTGATCTGGAGTAAGTCCTTGGCATCAAGAGTTTAAAACCAAACACAAGTAATGCCAGCATGCAACCATAAAGAGACTGTAAGTATCTGAAACCTAAATTCTGACACACAGCAGATACTAAACGTACTTTCCCATAAGATTCATATGGAAATAGTCTGCCCCACCACCATGTTGGAATGAACAATTGACTTTTATCACATAGAGTTCCAAGTAGAAAATCTGCTCCCCAAAGATCATCACAATTATCAAGAAAGACAAAACTGTCACTAAGACTCTGACACACAGCAATACGCCTGGCAGGCTGACTGACAGAAGTGGGGCCGCCCAGTTAGAAGGTAAGATGGGGTGGGAAGCTGAGTTAGGCACAAGAACAAAAAGCATCAGTAGTCTAAAGATAGCCTAAACCAAGGGTTCACTGTGCACAAACTCTGCTTTTTCATACACAGTGACCATGCCTGTCTCTGAGATCATGGTCTTCTGAGTGACTGAATTTCTGACCAATTGGTGAGGACTTGCTCTTGCTTGGGATGGACCCATTGAAGAATAGAAGGGCAAGGTGAAGGCTGATGTGTTAAGGTGAAGGCTGATGTGTTAAGATGAGCAAATGTCTCCTCCTCCACTGTGCAGACCAAATCTGGTATTGTAAGTAATGTCAGGACCATGAATAGCACACTCATCCTATCCTGTGGAGAAGAATAAAGACATTCACCAAAATATGGTTTGTCCTGAATGATGCTGCAGGCTTGCTAAAGCTGTCTCCACTCCATAAATGCTCATTTCTCCCCTCTGTGGTGGAACTGATGGCATCTTCACTTTGCTCTAGACCTCTTGGCCCTTAGCTCTTGCAAACCATCCACATGGGTGTTCACTTGGCTGTCACTTACGTACCTGCCTCCCTCTTAAACTGATGGCCGGCTTCTACCTCCTCCCTGCCTTTAAACTCTGGAGCTCTGCAACAAACTTCCTGATCAACAGCCCAGCTTAGGTGTCTTGCAGACATCTCAAACTTGGGTGCCAGTAATACTATTATCATTTTTACTAACTTCAGCACGTTAAAATACTCAGTGCCCACTAGTTGGGAATCTTCTATGTATATTATATACCCAAAATGCAATGCTTACTTCCCACCCAATCAATAATGTTTCTCCCTTAAATTTCTCCATTTCAGTAAATGACATTTCTCTAGTTCTTCAAGCCATTGACCTAGAGGTCAGCCTACATTCTTCTTTCTTTCACAGTTCCTGTCTAAATTTCTTGCATTAGTGCCCTCTGCAAATCTATACCTTCATGGTTCTCTGCACACCAACATGACAGCTTCCTCTAGTAAGCATCTATGTTTCGTTACCTGAGGACTTCCTCAAGACTAAAGAATATCTGCACTACCTACAGAGCAAGGCATAAACATGAGGGTTTTCTAACACTTATTCTCCAACAACAGTAGAAGAGAAACAATTGGCAACCATTCCAGCTCTCTCCTTCCCCTCTCATACAAGAGCCCTGGACATGAGATGTGTTCATGAATTATTGAGCTCCAATTTGACTTGGTGGTACAGTGACAATCTGCCCTGTCAGCTTCATTCCCTTGACTGTCTGCTTCCCCCTCTCTCCTCTCATTCTCTTTGATTGCCTCCAAACCCAGCCACTTGTACCCAAAGCCTTATCTTTGGGTCTTCTTCTGAGGTGACCTAAGTCTGACATGCTTACCTGAACAACCACAAAATAATTGCTTCTCTCATAGCCACTACTACTACTTGCTCCAGCAGTCCAAGGACCATTACAAGGTACGATTGCAATCAATTCATAACCAATTACCCTGTTTCTTCTCTGGCCTTCTTAGAGTCTGCATTCCACAGGAACACGAATGCTCTTTGTATAGCAGATGAGGGGACCTCCTTGCTCAGAGCCCTCTATTGGTTCCCTAGCACACTTAGAACAACATTCTTTATTAACCAGGAACTATGATACTTGGGGGTCATTTGGATTCTCAGATCCTCCCTAGAAGTTTCCAGGCATCAGCTCCCCCCAACAATCCTGCAATACTCTCATCCTATGAACACGATCATGTAATCACTCTCTGACCTTTGCACCTGTTCCTTTTACCTGGAAAGTACTTCCTACTTTTCTCAGTGTGACTGACTTCTTCACCTCATCAGGGAATGAATTTGCATGTGAGTCTTTCACAGAAAACTTCCTAAGCTGTTATCCTCCTGTGGTTCTTCATATCTTCATATATGAAATTGGATTTGCTTTGTCCTTTGCTATATTTCCTAATCCACTGGACAGCCTAGAGTTCAAGTACCTAGAAAAACTCCCAAAACATAATATGAGATCAATGAGCATCTGCTGAGTATATGAATGAATGGATGGATGGATGAATGATTCACTACTCGACTAGACTGTAAACTCATGACAGAAAGAAGATAAAACAATATTTGAGCAAGCAATGTAAGCTCATAGGAGGCACCACTACAGACACATAGCCCTGTGTACTGAGTCCCCCATCATAGTCAATACCCATTTCCTGTTATTGGTTCCTCTACACTTAAGGAGAGTTGCATCTCAGGCTATGCTAACCATCTGCCTTTGCCTTGTAGGCCTTACCAGAGGGACAGACAGCTTCGTGGGACACAGCCAAGGAAGATGAAAACCGCAATAAGAATCGATATGGAAACATCATATCCTGTAAGTGTCCTTCTGAGAGGTTAGATTTTGGGAAATGTGGGAGAAAAAAAAAAGTTCTTGTTTCCTGGGATTTGATATAAAATAATCCTTATGTTTCCAGCTTTGGGTTAGTAGATTATTACAATGATCCCAGGAAGGGTGGCAAGACCCAACTAAATTCAGTAGTAATCCTAAAGGGGGAAGGAAGAGAGAGAGAGTTGAGGGACAGCCATAAAACGAACTACCACTCACGGACAGCATACAAGTTTTGGCATTTCCAGATGATGACATGAACAGCCTTCAAGACAGCAGAGTTACCCCAGACAAAGTGTTGGGTCAGTGATCTGTTAAGAGGTGCCCATAGCAACCTTCCTGTGATATATTGTAGCCCAACCCAGGCCTTTTGACATCCTACCCACTGTGTGAGGACCATTTCTTAAGATCTTAGGTTACCCCAGTTTGGGCAAAGAAAGGAGAAACGGGGAAATCCTTAGGGACAAGTTATTTCTAGCACCGTGAAAAGTTTTGTTTTAACTGTCTAGACATCTCAAAAGAAAAAACGCTGGAGAAAGAATAAGACACAGGCAGTTTGTAAAGGAAGAAAGAGGCAGAAGTTTTCGCTTAGCTGTTTCCTGTGCTGATTTAGGAATGGGCTGTGAATAGTGGAACTAATCAGAAAACATTTATAATTTCTCTCTTGCATGCAGACAGCAAGATTTCTTACAAGTGAAGTGTCGGAAAGAGATATTCAAATAGTCAGCAGACATATATTAAGGCATAATGTGTGGGCCTCCTCTGAACACTTCCTGTGCTGGGCACTGGAAAATGTCTTTGTTCTGTGACAGGTGTCTATTCGCTATGGCTTGTCCCCACTGTCATTGCTTTCAGTACAGTGCCTGGTGTCCTGTAACCAGTGCATTATCCAATGCCATTGGCAGGTTGTGAGCTCAAATAAGGTTCACTGTTGAAAACAGGTTTCCAACTGGGCAGTGGTGACACACACCTTTAATCCCAGCACTCAGGAGGCAGAGGCAGGCGGATCTCTATGAGTTGAGGCCAGCCCGATATACAGAACTAGTGCCAGGATAGGCTCCAATGCTACACAGAGAAACCCTGTCTCAAAAAACCAAAAAGAAAATAAAAAAAAAGAAGAAGAAAGAAAAGAAAAAGAAAACAAGTTTCCAATGCCCTGCTCCCAGGAATATTGAACCTATGCGAAAAGTAAATGCCTTGACCATAAGAAAGGGAGACCTACTCATTGACAGACAGGAATATTTTAGGCCAACGGTCAGAAGCCAAGATGTATGAGAGATACACAAAAGATAGGAGAGCTAATGTGAGCTTACCAATTCCAACCGGACTTGGAAGGAACAAGCATAGGACCAAACTAGACCCTTTGAATGTGGTTGACAGTTGCATGGTTGGGGCAGACTGAGGGACCACTGGCAGTGGCACGGTGATTTATCTTTACTGCATGTAGTGGCTTTTTGGGCTCCTATTCTCTTTGGATGGATACCTTGCTCAGCCTAGATGTAGTAGGGAGGGCCTGGGACCTTTCGCAAAGCAAAGTGCTTTACCCTCTCTTAGGATTAGAGGGGTGAGGTGAGAGAGTTTGTGGAGGGAAGGGAGTGGGAATTTGGATTAGTATTTTTTAAAAAAAAAATCTAATAGGAGAGAGAGAGAGAGAGAGAGAGAGAGAGAGAGAGAGAGAGAGAGAGATATTTCCTGGTGGGGCACTGCCTGGTGACATCCTGAGGATGCAAGGAGCTGCAGTGGTAACAACACTGTCCCCTGTCCTCTCTGGGTGCTCTTCCTGTCTGTTCTTCCTCTCTCTCCTGTCTCTGCGGTGGGAGCTTCCCAGCTTCAGCTAGCAGCTAACATAGATCTGCGGAGTCAAGGAGACACACAGAACGGATGTGTATCTCTTTGTGTGGTGCCCAAGCCATACCTTCTGTGTCCCAATAAGGGTAATTCAATCAAGATTGAATGTTTAGACCTTTAGCTTCGATGAGGTACCCAGGCAGTCCCTGTGGAATTACCTGCCTCCTCCCTACCCACTCGTGCAAGATGATAGCATTAACATTTCCAATACTTCCAGGAAATGGTTTTGCAGCTCCACAATTCATTGTAATGAGTCAAATCTCTTTTCTCTGAAAAATTGCTCCTGTTTTTTACCCTCTGCTGTCCCCAGAAGACAGGAGGAAAAATTATAAAGTATGCAAATGAGAGTCTCTCCCAGCCCCACCTTTCTGAAGTGATTCTCTCTTAAAGCAGATGTGACTTGAGATGACTGATTTATTGGGTTTTGTCTGATGATGGAGAAAAGTGGGGAATCTGGGGTTTGGTTTTTAGTTAGAATTGCACAAAGGAGAGAACTGAACCTCATCCTCCAGAGTGGTTGTGAAATGACAACAAGATAGAGACAGGGGACCAGGGTTGGGGACCGAGTTGTTGGTGGGAAACAAGGGATAGAGGGATTTGGGGCACTGGGGTCTTGGGGGCCAGTTTGCCACTATGTAAGGAGGCTGTCTGCCTTATACCTTCTATTGAGTGACAGAACTCCACAGAGCCTTGAGTTTTCCATCCATGAAGTAAGGTATGCAATTTGCCACTCAGAGTTACTTTTTTAATCAAATGGCACAGTATCCATGCAGCTTCCGGAATAGTCCATGGAACACCTTACACTCTCCATACAGATAAATTCCTATCCCTTGCCACCTGCCACTGAGGGGTCTTTGACCTCATGGCCCACTTCCAGGAAGTCTCCTGATCTTTCCCAAGAGAGATTAAAGTTAGGACAAATCTGTGCTGAATAACTCAACATTAATTTGCATGCTCAAAACAGGGCACACACTGTGAAAAGCTTGCTAAAACATGCATTTTCCTCTTGCAGCTTCTGATTCTGGAAACTGGAGTATGGCCCCAAAATCTGGATATCTAAAGATCACACTTAGAAATCCATTGGTCTATAATAAGAATAAGGCTCAACTTAGATATTTGTGTTGATCTTTACAGCAGGTTCAATGTTTTCATATTTTATCTCTTTTCATCTCGGGCACAAGTCTGTAGTTAAAAAAAATATTATGTGGGGGTTATAGTTGAATAAATAGAGGTTCAAGGAATATTACAACCCAAACCAAGTATTATTATGATCTAGTTAGGGAGTGGAGAGGGCAACTCAGGTCGGCCTTCACAATTCAGCCGATCCTTTAGCTCTCTTCTAATAAGGATAAGAATTGGTTTTTGATGTTGGGGCAGGTCAGGACGGCAGGTGAGACAGTGGATCAGCCATGGCGAGATAAAGAGTTTGGTCATGATGCATGGTCTCAGACAAGTGTGTGCCTCAGCACGTGTGAAGACTCTGTGACCAGAACAAACACAGTATATTGGAACCACTTAAGATCAAGGTTACCAGGGAAGTGTGTGGAGAGGAGACCATGACAGGGCAGTGGGTTCTCAGGCAATCAGAGCCGGTGTGGCTTTGTGGGGAATGGTAAGAGTCTCTGCTAGTGATATGCTCTGGTTGATTCATGCCAGTGAACAAAAGCAGAGGTATGGTAAGCATAAATTTCGTACATCTGTAGTTTACAATCGGTGATGGTGGTGAAATTTACACCACCCACATTATATATCAGACCTCTGTTCCCTTTCGGTGAGCTGTTTGTAAGCTTCTGAAACAGTTACCAGCCTACCATGGGCCCACATTCTACAGCCATAAAGAACAGATAGTTTAAAGAGAGAAGATGATGTCCTCCTGCCCCTGCAGCTGTGTTCATGGGACAGTTTTAAACTTCCAAGTCCTTCATAGCTACTCTACCATCAAGCAAAGGCTATTTCTTTCCCAGTCCCCACCTCCTCGAGGAACCTGGAGTATCCAGGCTCCTGCCTCTTCATCTTACTTCCCATTCAGGGAGCTTCTCCTCCTCCACAAGATTCTTCATAACCCTTCTCTTTGTCTTGACTCTCAAATGCTGCATGCCAAATTAGTTGTTTTTCAAGCTTGCAAAATGTAGATAGAGCATAATGAACATTCTGGGCGGCTTGTAAATTACCTTGTATAAGCTCCTTGCCATCACTGGCTGCCCCATCTTTCTCCATGTGCATGTGAGTAAACACAATTTTTATCTTTCTAATTACATAAAGTTAGCAGAAGAAAGGGACACAGAATAATATTAGCATTTCCCAGGACAGATAAATAAACCATGAGGACACTGCCATTCTTTGCATTGCCTCTCTGCTAGACCTGGATCTGAATTCTGTCCGTTAAGGAACACATCCATTACTCCTGTGTCTGCAGATAAACAGATTTGTCTTGGGGCAGATGGACAAATGGGGAACATTAGCTTTCTAGGTGTCTCTACTGTCACCCCACTGTGTGCCTTATATCTAGCCCAAGCCTCCATTTATTGAGTCCCTGCTGTATGCCAGGCACTATCCTCTATTTCTTTAGGAGCAATTTTAGTTTTATAGAGAAGCTGAGTGGCAAGTACAGAATTCTGCACCAGTTATATGTTGTTTCCACTTTCATCAACACTGCAGAACATTTGTTGCTGTTGATGGCCTAATATTGGTCCATTATTGTTAGTTTAAGTCCACAGTTTACATTAGGGCTCACGTTGTATGTTATGCAGTTCTGTAGAACTGGAAAGTGCATATATTCCAAGTACAGTATTTTATGGAATAGTTTCCTTGCCCTAAATGTCCCCATTGCTCAACATATTTAACCCTCCTTCCTCCTCTTCTAAACCTCTGCCAATCATTGAGGTTTTTGTAGACTCTATGGTTTCTTCCTCTTTTGGAGTATTATATAGTTAGAACCATATGTAGACTCAACATTCAACATAGCCTTTCCAGATTGGCTTCCACTACTTAGCAATAGTATTTAAGTCTCTGCCATGTCTTTTATAGTTTGTGAGTTCATTTCTTTTTATCACTGAATAATATTCCAGTATATGGCTATATCAACCTTTATTTATCCAATTCACTTACTGAGGATATTTTTGGTTGTTTCCAAATTTGTATGATCATGGCTAACGCTGCTTGTGTACAGTTTTTAATGTAGGCATAAAATTGGAATACTTTGGATAAATACCAAATAGTGTAATTACTGGATCTCATGGTGATGGATTCTTCATTTTGTAAAAAATGGCCTTGTTATCTTCCAAGTGGCTGCACCATTGTATGTTTTCTCTAGCAATGAGTAGGTGAGCATTCCCTTTACAAATATTAGCAAATATTTGCTGGTATTGTGAGGGTTTTGCCACTGTTGCATGTGTAGTATTTTACTGCTGAAACTTTAAATGTTCTAGGTACTTGTGCCTTGGTGCCTTAAAGTGGCATAGAGAACACTCCATTCTATCCAGCCTTCTCCTCTGTCTCCTCTTGCTACTGTTTCCCTCACAATCAGTGATCCCAGGAAAAAAAGACTCTTCTGCAGTCCTACACTATAGCACCTTCCTGCAAAGTGCTGGCTCTTTGAGGATCCCTGCTTCCACAGTGTCCTCTAAGAGAAAAACTTCCTGGATGCCCCTGGGTCAAAGCTTCCTCACTTTTAATTCCTGAGTCTCATTTCACTACAAAAGCTCTCTGTTCCTCTTTTACGAGACCTTGCTGTTTCCCTTCCATTCGTGAGCCATCTCCTTGATCAAATTGCCCCTGTTGCTTAAGCATGAAGCTCAGCTACTCTAACCCTTTCTTAGTTCCTTCAACTAGGCTGGCACATAGTAGGTAAGCAGCAAGTGTGTTCTTAATAATAAAAGAAGATATTGGTAGACAAACTGATGGTTAGAGACACATATGCTCTTTAAGGATATTTGACTCAAAATTGTAGGTTTTTTCTTTTGCTTTGTTTCTAATGATTTTTGCATATATCCCTTTTATCATTTTAAACCAGAATCTCTATTTCCACTGCTATAGTCTCCAGGCAAGCATAACTCAGTAAGTAAAGGAGATTTTGATCTGCCTCTTTAGTATAGCAGGCAATTCATCAGTCTCATAAATAAAAGAGATTTTGAATCACCAAGTCATTAATAAAAGCACTAGATAAAAACATAATATATACATTTCCTTTTTCAGAGACTTATAAATTCTGTCACTGCTCGTAGCCGGGGTTCAGAGTCAGGTCACACTCCTACAGAATGGCCATCCCCAGGAAGTCTCCCTCTCTTGAGTGCTGAGGGCTGGGGACCACTCACTTGCACAGACCCTAACGGTAGTTACCCTTTGAGATGCCTGTACTTCCTCAGGACGGCGAGTTCTGTTGGTAGAACAGGATGCACCTTAGAGAGTAGCTGTCTAATTGGTGAAAGTGCTTATCTTCTGTGAGCCTGAGAAAGCAGATATAATAGCACTTCATTGTGACCATGATAAGGTGAAGAGCTACTTTTAGGGAAAAGTGAGTGAGATGGTGTACCTAATATTGGAGCTTTATAATGAATTAAGTAAAGTTTAAGTTGAAACTCTCCTCACCCAAGACCCCACATCTCTATCCCATACCCAAGCAGAATTACCTCCTACCTACTCCTCCTTCCCAGTGGCTTCCAATGAAACATTTCCTCCTTGGAGAATTAGAACAGGGGTTTCCAGTATAATGCATTATCCAAGCATGGCACCTGCTGCCTGTTGATACTCATGATTGATTCCGAGTTAATAGATATTAGTGGTGCCTTATACTAGTCCAGGGCCTGTTTGCCCAAAGCTGGATCCATCCTTGACCTTCCAGTTGATGTTACATTACAAGGAGCTGATCTCTGCAAAGTCCTTGCAATCAGGAACTCTCCCACTTGAGTCCAGCTCCTGCCAAAGACACCCATGGTGGCTCCAGTTCTACTTGACTCCAAATCTAGAGTTCTGAGAAGGCCACCCCATCTTTCTCTTCTTCCAGTCTATTAAAGTAGCCTCTCTTTGTTGTTTTTCTAAATTATCTCACTTCTTAAATATTCCTTCCATCACTCAACCAACAACTTCTGTAGCCATCCTCCGCTGTGAATACTTATATGGTTTCTAATCTCCTACTTGGAGCTTTTTGGAAGTAGGAACATACGAACTTGAAGTTAATAGGCCCAGACTGTCTATGTCACACCATTCACTAGTCATATGGCCAATTTTTATGAACCTCAGTTTGCTCGTTTGTTACAAGGACTAATGGAACCATTCTGCCTCGCTCATGAGATCACTGAGAGCACCCAATGGGGCCATTCACTCATCCACTCATCCACTCACCAAGTACCCACTGAGCTCCTGCTGTGTGCTACTCCCATAAGGCTGTAAGGGATGAAACACAGAACCATCAATGCCCCATCGCAAGAAACTCAAGTCAGTGCCAGCAAATGTGCTTAGAAACTGAAGAGTACTATAAAAGTCTACAAGGAAAAGCTGTTTTCCCTCCTTAACCCTATGAGGCCCTAGGATGCCCACACCTCTCTATCCCACCGATTGTGAACCCCATCTCTGCCCTGGAGTATAATGGGGGTAATGTATGCAATGGCAGGTGCACAGTGACCCAGGTAGCAGACTGGGGGTTCTCACCAGACCCAACCAAGATGTTCCCTAGTGTGTGTAAATTAGCATGTCAGAATTGACATTAATTAATTGCAAAGGATTATCCAGCTTTTTCTGATGTACCATTTAAAGTGTTATTTGAAGCAAGCATGTTATTGACTAAAGCCCGAACATCTTATTGTTTATGTCTAGACTGTGTTTGAAAAGGCATCCTCGGTAACATGATTTTTAGTTATTGATGACCCCTTTTCTGATGATCCAGTCCTCAGTTTAATGAGAGTATTGATAACAAGACACTGCCGACATTCTGTGTGCATCAGTGCTCCAAGAGACAAACATAAAGTAGTTTGTGTTCATGGGGAAATGGGTAAACTTGCTGTTTTTAAACAAGCATAGAAAGGAAGCATATTGATTCAGACTCCATGACCTTATGGTCTGGGCACAGATATCAGTCTCTCATTCCATGAAGCAGGTATTTCTATCCCGATATTAATGATGAAATCACTAAGACTTAGGAGCTGGGGATACACCTGCTCAGGTAATGGTGAAATCATAATCAAAACAGAAAGTAGAAAATGGGTCCTTTGTCAGATTCATTACCTCTCTGTACCTCTGTTTCCTCATTTATAAACAACATATAACTGTGAGAAAGAGGCAGAGTCCCTGATGAGTGACAGTTCTACAGAAGACAACAACTGACCCCTCCTTTCACAGCTTCTCATCCACCACTTCCTGCTATTTGTTCTCTCTCCAGATGACCACTCCCGGGTGAGGCTGTTGGTGCTGGATGGAGACCCCCACTCTGACTACATCAATGCCAACTACATCGATGTGAGTATCTTGATTGGGCTAAGTAGCTATGGGCTAGAGTTGACTGTTCAGACTCGAGATCTAATTGAGAGGCTGTCTTTAACCTGTCCATCAGAAGGTAGCCGGAACATGTCCAGAGCTGTGTGTCATTTTCCTAGTTTGTATGGCACAAGTTGATTATCCACCCAGAGCTACAGCTGCTTTCAAGCAGACTAGAGTCATCTGTTCTTTGCAACTCCAGGGAAACGGCTGATCTTATTCATTCAATCCATGCATTAATGTGTATGTGTCTGTCTACTCAGTCATTCATTTGAAGATACAACCATCGATGCAACAAAATGTTTAAAATACTCACTATGTGCTAGATATTATGAGGGCCATAAAACTAAAAATGTCAGGGTCTCCACCCTCAAAAACATTAGAAAAGAGAAGCTGTGCTCATCTGTGGTAAACTAGGGTAAACTAGAGCTTGCTGACTATTATAGGTTCAGATAAAATACTTTCAGGATTCAGGAATGGGAAACATCACTTCTTCAATCAGAGATGCAGAAAATTGTGTGAGTCAAAGCTTCAGGTGCAAGTGAAATTCAAACTCAAAGCGAGAGAGGATGCACCTTTGGTTAGGGAACTGCTCTCGCCAAGAGGAAGAAAGAAGAGTTTGGAAAGAAAGACATATCATCTCTGTCTGAGGGCAGTGGGAACAGGATAGTGGCAGTACTGGAAAATGGGGTTGGCCCTGGATCCTTGATGACTTAGGAGGTTGAGCCCTGAAGGAAAGAGAAAGCTATTGAAGGTGTCTGAATATGGGCGGTCCCATTCAGCACTGAGCTCTACAATTCTTCTGCTCCTGGAGGAAAGGGAAAGCCCAGAAAAGAGAGCCTGGAATTAATACACAGCCAAGTAGGAGGGAGGCTGCCACCACATTTCAGACACTGCTGAGAAAGGGACTCGGTTCAAAGAGGAGCCAAGAACGGCGTGCACAGAAGTGAGAGACTCTACGAAGGAGGAAGTATGACCACTATTGCCAAGTGGATAGCCCGGCATCACTGACCCAAGCTGACTTCTCAAGGACTCAGCTCAGAGCCCAGAGGCCTTGAAGAAAGACTCAGTTTCCCACTGATCCCTCAGATGCCTGAGTGTATTGATAGACCAGCTATGAAGTACAATAGCAAGTTTCGTGAATTTTTTTTTTATTGAGAAAAGGAAAAAAAAAAAACAAGTTTCCACCTCCTCCCAGCCTTCCATTTCCCTCCCCCTCCTCCCCCCCCACGCCCCTCCTCCCACCCTTCTCCCCTTCTCCCCACTCCTTTCCCCCTCCCTCTCCAGTCCAAAGAGCAGTCAGGGTTTTCTGCCCTGTGGTAAGACCTAGGACCTCCCACCTCCGTCCATATCTAGGAAGGTGAACATCCAAACTGGCTGGGCTCCCACAAAGCCATCACATTACGTAGGATCAAACCCCCGTGCCATTGTCCTTTGCGTCTCATCAGCCCTCATAATTCGCCATGTTCAGAGAGTCCAGTTTTATCCCATGCTTTTTCAGTCACAGTCCAGCTGGTCTTGGTGAGCTCTCAATAGATCAGCTCCACTGTCTCAGTGGGTGGGTGCATCCCTCGTGGTCCCGACTTCTTTGCTCATGTTCTCCCTCCTTCTGCTCCTCATTGGGACTTTGGGAGCTCAGTCCAGTGCTCCAGTGTGGGTCTCTGTCTCTATCTCCATCCATCACCAGATGAAGGTTCTATGATGATATGCAAGATATTCGTCAGTATTGCTCAAGGATAGGGTCATTTCAGGTTCCCTATTCTCAACTGCCCAAGGAACTAACTGGGGACCTCAGCTTGGGCACCTGGGAGCCCCTCTAGGGTCAGGTCTCTTGCCAACCCTAAAGTGGTTCCCTTAACTAAGAATTGTGGTTCCGTGCTCCCCTGTCCAACCTTCCTTTATCCCAATCCTCCTGCTTTCCCAAGGCCCGACCTCCTTCCCTTCTAACTTTTCTCTCCCCATCTCCCCTTACCCCCAACCCACCCCACCCCAAGATCAGTAGATTCATTAGTTTAACAAACATTTATTGAACCTTAAACCTGATAACTACTTCACACTTTACACTGGGTGAACACTCAGCCAGCAGATGCCAATCCAGGCTAGATTGGTTCCTTCCTTTTCTCCTTTCCCTTGATTATGGCTAGGTAGATGTGACTGTCCTAAGGGAGAGTACCCACATAGAAGCTTAGAAGCCTAAGTTGCTAGCACTATCTGGCCTTTGTTATGTGAATGGAAATACCCAGCAAAATCACATTCCTAAATATCCACTCAGCCCAGCATGGCCATTTGTTTGCCCCCAGTTATTCTTTGATATTCTCTGCTCTCCTTTGCTTTGTAGATGGTAGTGATTGTGCACTTGTGAGCATGGGTATAGTGTTCAGGGAAGGAGGAAACAGGGATTGATAGAATCCCCAGGGATGGCAGAAAGAAAGCAACCAGGGTGTCTCTGCTCTCTTCCTGCCTGGATAGCAGTTCCTCCATGGCAACCTTTCATCTGCATCTCCAGTTTCCCTCGGTTTGAGTTCTAATTCCTTCCAGGCCATCTCAGATCCCCAGTTCTTATGATTTCTGTTTTCCATTGTTCCTCTAGGACAGTGTCCTCAACCTGTGGGTCTTGAGCCCTTTGAGGGGTCAAATGACTCTTTCACACAGGTCGCCTAAGGCCATTAGAAAACACAGATATTTATATTACAATTCATAACAGTAGCAAAATTACAGTTATGAAGTGGCAACAGAAATAACTTTATGGCTGGGGGTCACCCAAACATCAGGACCTACATTGAAGGGCCACAGCATTGAGAAGGTAAAGAACAACTGAGCTACGGGCTCTGTGGGCTGCTGATCTTGAGGTTGACCTATGGTTCCTCTGTGCCATCACGCTTCCCTAGAACCTTTCAAATCAGTTCTCCATGTTGAAGCCCCTCAGTTCGTGATGCCCAGAGTGGTTTCCACTTTCCTACCTGACCCTGCGTAACAAAGGACCTGCTGTGTGACCAAGACCCGGGGCTAGAGCTTCAGTGGAGATAAAGAAGCTAGTCTCTGTGTCTGTAGCCCCCCAGATGACTTCAAAGGGAGCAATCCAATTCTGAGCAGCTCGTCTCCAGCAAGAGTGGGTTGCTCTAAGCATCCATTGGCCATGTCATTAGCTTTCCATTCTAGTAGTCATATCACAAATACCAAGAAGACGTCCCACTGTGTGCTAGAAATACTGACCTATCAGACAAGGATTCTGTCTGGTAAGAGGGGTCAGATGAGAAAAGATTCTTTCCTGGAACAGGGGCTGTTAGAGCAAAGCCTCAAGAGGGAGTCCAATGAAAGTTTGAAGGCGATGACAGCTCAGTCCTGCCTTAGAAAGTAACAAAGAACCAACTAGACAAGAAAGGGTTGTGGCTACCTAAGAATGAATGATCCCTCCTCGTGTACAAGTGTGTCACCTTAAGTAGTACCTCAGCCTAGCTAGATGAATGCCTCTAGGACCCATAGCCAGATGAGTAAGGTGGGACTCTCAAGGTTATGAAATGTACCCAGAATCCCACCCAAGGAAGTCAGAGGGGGGAGCTAGACTTTGAATCAAGAGTGCCAAACTCTGTTTCTTCCAGTAATAATAATCAATGACAGTGGTAGTAGGTTCTAAATGGGTCACTCCTGGCCCTACGATGTATGCTTGAAGCGAGTCAACTTACTAAGACTTCTTGGTGACACTTCAATGTAGTTCTTATCACTCCCACTTTGCAGATGGGGAAATGGAGACCTGGGGTAATTGAATAACTGGTCCAATGTCATAGAGATGTGGCACAACCTGGGTATGAACCATAGCTGAATGTCCCAGCTCAGTACTCTTTTTACCCCTGGTCCTTCATCTACTCCTAACGCCATCCACAGCGTGCATCTAGTGGACACTCATTTAGCACTTATTGATACGGGCTGGACTAGTTTCTTTCTTTCCTTCCCCACCTTGACTGTGGTCAGGTGGCCATGACAGTCGTAAGGATACAGCATATACATAGTCTTGTGTGCCCAGGTGGACATATTTATCTGGCATTTAATAGCTAAATGGAAACCCCCATCGAAATGATTTTTCCAGCTACTTACTCAATCTGCAGTAGAGTGAATGTCTGCGTACATGTAGAACTGAGAAATCTCCATGTAATATAGACAGCAAATGAAACTGCTTTGAATGCACATGACTCTGTACAGTGCCAGCACTAATCAGCGCTGTCCTGTTCTGTCATTACAAAGTCTTTTGCAAGCCTCTAAAAGACCAGGGATTGGGGCTTAAGAGCACTGCCCTAGGTCACACAGCTAGACTTTAATTCTCTGCAGAGCTGGAACACAGAAGAGCCCCCTCCCTTTCTGTGTAAGAAGTTGACTGTACAGACAGGCCAAATGTCCCTACCGCATGCTGTCCTAATGGGCAGTGTCAGGCCCTGAGCTGGCATCTCAGTGATTAGCATCAGGACTAATGAGACTGCAGTCGTGAATCTCATCCTTGTTGGGCCTGTTGTATACAGGCCTTTCTGATGGCTACCTTTGTAGCTCAGGATAACTGCCGTAGAGTATCAGGGTTCCAAGAGGAAACAAGCTGGCTCACAGGTCTTAACCGGGTAGAGTTTAACAAGTGCCTGGATATATCCTGAGATGGACTAACCAACCAGATTGTGTGGAGTAGCCTGTAGCTAGAGAAGGCAAAGCGATCAAGTTCAGTGGCTGGATAAGAGAATGGGTATAAAAGTAATAGCATTACTGTAAGGAGAGGACTGTCTTGCTCTTGCCAAGGAGAAGCTAACCCCTGCTAATGCAGCAAGGAAGAACCTAGAAGGGCATATGCCCCAACTTCCCATTGGCCTCTTAGCTTTCCCCTTCCCCTCCTACTTAGAAAATGCCCTCTGAATGCCTGAGGACATGGGAGCCTGCTCTATGGTTTATTTTGTCCCCTTTCATTGCTACAGAGCGAGTGTGGAAAAGACAATGGGGAAAGAGGCGAGACAAAAAGACACCAAACATAAAAGCACACTCTTAGAGTGTTAATCATGATGGGGCAGGTAGCAGGATAATCACAATTGTGAGCCTACCTGAGGCCTCCGTAGAACTATACTCTGTGATCTCCTGGGGATCCCTGAAAACCAACAATGGAGTGGGGGAAGCTATCTCGTCTTCACCGCTTTGTCCTACTCTTCAGCACAGCCCAAAGACAAGAAAGAGCTAGTCATCCAAGTTAGAGGACCTTCTCTATAATTGAATCTTGACAATTCATTAGAATGACTCTATTTGGATAATGAGCTGGATGAGGTCAACCTTGCCCGAGCCTCTGGAGGCCGCGGTATGCTGCCCTCTGAACCAGCCCACTGGCCTGTTTGTTTGCACACCCGAAAATGTATTAGCCACTTGAATCTGTTATAAATTACCAGCCTGGAAATAAATATCATATCTGGGTCCCCAGTAAGTAACAGATGCAGGAGTGTAGAGTGAGATAAATGCGTTTTGGTTGCAAACCTCTTTCCCATTGCTCACGGACAGATGGAGGCAGGCCCAGCGCTGGTTTGCAGTCAGTCTGTGTGCTGTGTAGGTGGGACTTAAATGAACTGGGAGTTCTTTTAAGGTTAAGAAGTTTTCTTCACTAGCTCTTGGCAAATCCCCAGAGGAGACCCAATTGAGCAACACATTTCCTTTTATCTCCATTGCTAAGGAATCGCTCTCATGGTTTAAAATTTTCCTCTTTGGGAACTCTGTGAGTTTCTTGAGTCTAGATCAGGTCTTTTTGCCCAGATGCGGCATGGGGGCAGGCATGTGGCACACGGGCATTCAGTGGGTCCCCAGGGGCTTCCTGGCCAGGCGGTCTAGTCAAGTCAACAATCGCCAGGTTCACTAAAAAGAGTGATTCACAAAGACATCTGACATCGACTTCTGGCTTTCACACATATTTACGCACATGCACTGATCACACATGCACTGATACCTCCACATACATGTGCATGCATACACGAACACATGCACACAAAATAGAAGAACAAAAAAATAAATCAGGAGTAGGAGAGGGAAGCAGACAGTCGCCTGGTGCTAAGCCTTCTGGACAGAAATGTGACCACTACTTCTGAAGAAAAGCTATAAGTCCATGGGCAATGGGGACATTAGTGGGAAGAATAGACAGACTACTGATGGCATGATGTGGGATTTCAGGAATATCAAGAGGCCCAGCCTAGAAGCTAATTAAACCACCACCTCATCAGAAAACATTCCTCTGGTCTATAGCTGAGTCAGTTCCCATGGGTGCTCTACGGAGCCCCCCATCTTCCCTTGGAGTTTCGTAACCCAGCTTGTAGATGTCTATGAGCTGCTCCAAAGCAGAGCCTACATCTGGCTGGCTCACTGTTGGGTTGCCATGCATTGTGCATAGCAGAATGTGCCCCTTTGATGCTTGCTGGTCAAATCTGAAATGATTGTGTAAACAAATGAAAGCACGAAATAGAGCCTCGGCAGGCCAGCCTCACAATGGATGTGTGAGTTTCTTGCCCAGAATTTTCTGCCATTAATTTCAAGTACATTTGAAATCTTTCAAACCCAGTTTCTTCCAAGGTCTTAGCCAATGCAAAACCAGACCCATGCATGCATCCCACTGACCAGCCTGTGCAGAAAGCTACACCTCGCTCCACGCTGTGTGTCTCATGACCCAGGAGAAGAAAAGGATAAAAGTTCTTAGTGCTGCTGTTTATGTGCCTGTGTTCACTGGGTCTCTGTGAAGCCCTGTGGAATCTCTCAAGGGGAAAGGAGACTCATGAGGAAGGAGTTACCTCTGTATCACAGAAGAGCCCATGTCTAAAGTCCTTGGTACTGAGGCTGAAACACAAGATGAGTATATTGCGGGAGCAGACACAACAAGAGGGCTGGGGAAAAAGTTCAAGATGAGGATGCTATTGTGTAGTTACTATAAGATGAAGCATTTAGACATTGCCATGCAAGTAATGCAGAGTCACTGCAGACTCAGATAAAAACAAAAACCTGACCAACTTGGGTGCATCCTGAGACGGCCCCTGCTGCAGGAAGCTTATGAGCTTCAGGAGTAAAAATGGGTTCTTGGAGGACACCAGGAGGTTGAAGCTATGGTCCAGGCCAGCAAAGACTTTGAGAACAGCTGATGAGGGAGATGGCAGAAGAGAGTAGACACAAGAAACCTCATCATTCTGAATTCTGGGGAGCTATTTTCTGTTCCCAAACCTACTCAAAAGACCCCAGAATCTAAGTCTCCTATCCAGCCTGCATAGCCCTGTCCATCTTGACTTGGAATTACAGATGTGCCTTTCCATCTGTTTGCTCATGGAGGAGAGCTCAGTTACTAACATGGGAGGACTCACCTCTGCAGCAACCCTAACAGAGAGGCCGGGGAAGAAGGGGCTGACACAGGCTCTGCATCAGCATATATAGTATAAGAGGCCACACCCCAGTATGCGGGTAACCACAAGCTGTAGGACTTCCTACAGCAATTCCCATTTTGCCTATGAGACCACCAGGTAGCTAGACAGAGATGTGTCTTAATATTATGCTGTTTCCAAGCTTTGAATGGAAACCCTTGGTTGTGTTTTCTTCCTATTTTCCAGGGGTACCACCGTCCCCGGCACTACATTGCAACCCAAGGTAAGTGTCTTGGAGTGACTTCAAGGTTATCTAGGAAGAGGGATTTTTTAAAATCAGGGTAAGCCTTATTATCTACTCTTCCTCTCTCTGTTATCCCAACACTCTTTGTCCACTAAATGGTCTGGCTTCTCCTGAAGGAAGGGGATTAACTTTTGCAGACAGGGAAGCCAGAGAGACAGGGCAGCAGAGCCTCCACCAGTCTTTGAAGAGCAAGGAGAGGACATGTTTGACCTAGACTTTCAGCAGAAATGGTTGTCACTAGGAAATATTATTCAGAGGGAAGGGACCACGTGTGGGGTGACCAGAGAAAAGCCTCAGTGGGTACCCAGAAGACATTCCCATCCCTCCAGTGAGTGCAAGTCCACAAGAGAGATGCAGCCCATTGCCCCGGGAAGCAGTGTGGCAGTATGCTATCAGAAGGTTTAAAAATAATGATGCCTTTTGCAGCCTCCTGGGGGAAGTCCTGCAGATAATTATATGTGTGGACCTTGACACATATCAAAAGCATTCTTCACAATGTTATCGTGTCATCTGCAATAGGAAAAAGTGAAAAAATCCTAAATGCCCAATAGCAGACAGGTTGTTAAATAACGTATGGCATCTCCATGTTGTAGAAAGGGCTGTAGCTTTGAAATATATTATTTTTGATGATATGAAAATAGACTTATAATAAACCTGGTGCTTATTGCAGAAAATGTATATGTACAAGCAAAACACAGAAAAATGCTATTCAAATTTTCTTTCAAATGCATGAATTGCTTTTGTAATTTTAAAATTGATAAAGACCCAGGATATTAAGAATTGTTTCCTAGGAAATTGCTTTGGACTGTCATATCCTATCTCCTATTCCTTGGTTTTTCCACCCTGTTCCTTTTTTTTCTTTCTTTTGTACTTTCTGTGCTTTAATCCTCTCCTTCCTGGTCAAACTTCAGATTATTGTCTCCGACATTTGTCAAGCTCAGAACTCAGGACCCTCTTGCTTTTGGCAGCTCTACCCTCCCTACCCTGGCTCCCTGCATCTCTCATCGAGATCCCACTGTCTAATCTCTGCAACCCCACCTGCCTTGGACACGATAGTCCAGATAAAGTAGTGGATCCGGAAAAAGTGGAGCTGCTGGGCTGAGCATGAGGGTGAGGGCAAGGGTGAGGCGGATGCTGCAGACCACAGATACCAGAAAAGTGGGGTTTTTTTTCTCTTATCTGTGCTCTGCTCTGCCCCCAACAAATTCACACCTCCAGCCTCAGTCTTAACTCCCTGGTGTTTCACTTAGGTCCCCCAGCATCACTCTTGCCCACCTAGGTTGAACCCTGATTAAACAGTCGAGAGGCAAACCACTCAGCATCCACTTGTACCCACAGCCTCTAACCCCATCGTCTTCTCTGTTGCCAGGTCCAATGCAAGAGACTGTGAAGGACTTTTGGAGAATGATCTGGCAGGAAAACTCTGCTAGCATCGTCATGGTCACAAACCTCGTGGAAGTGGGCAGGGTAAGCGTCTCCTTCAGTCGTGTGGGCAGAGGGTGGTGGAGATACACCCTGGGGTGCCTGCTGTCTGCGCTTTGCCACCAGCTTCCTAAGCAGTACCGCACCTTTATGGCAGCCTATAGGGATGGGAGATTCCTTACTCTATTTCACATATGAGCAGTGTTCTACTCCTTCAAGTCTCCCATCCCATTTCTATCCTCTCTCTCCACTGATAACGTCATCTCATGCATTTTGAGGAAATTAAAGCCATCGGGCGGGAACTCTCTCACCAACACATCCCAAACCTATAAACTTACTCGTATCTGCAGCCATATTCACAATGTTCCCTTCTGCTCTCAGGTGTAGCCGTGAGAAAAGGGCTGTTTCTATTGATTCCAAAAGGCTGGATACTGGCCATTTGTTATGACCAAGCCCAACATGACAAACACTAAGTTTCTGCCCTTGATAGGTGACCCTCTGAGAGGTCACTGCAAGCCCTTCCTTGTTCACCTCCCTTCCTCGTCTTTTAGCCCAACATTCTTTTTCCTGGCCTTGCCTAAAAGAAGAGAATGAACTTGTACTAGCAAAGAAGCCAGAGGGACGGGGCAGGAAAGCAACCAAAAGTCCCCGAGAAGCAAGGAAGTGACACATTCAGCTCTGAAGGGAGGCTGCAGGGACCTGTCACTAGGATATATCGTTAGGAGGAAAGGAACCAGGCAGGGCAGATCAGACGTATTAATATCCTCAGGCGCAACCCAACAAGGCTCAGAGATTTTCTCATATTCCCTTTTCATTTGAAATATAAGAAGACTCTTCTTCATTGCTGAATTATTTCACCTCAGCATGTGAATATGCTCAGTAATTTCCATCTCAGAAGGACAAAAACCACCACCAAATGAGTCACAAAACAAAAACTAAAACCATGAGCCTGCTAAAGGGAGGGGCGGGATGGGGGAGGACTGATAGCAGTAATAGAAAGGCAGGGGAGGGAGAGTAATCTGAATAAATCATATTTGTGTACAAAATTGTCAAATAGCAAAGTTAAGGACTAAAACACTATTAGAAACATTTTTAAAGCCAAACAAAGGTACCTTCCCTGTTCTCGTGTTTCTGCTGCATCTCAAGGACTCAGAGGCTTTGTGTCTCCTCTCGGGTCTCCTCTATCCACCTCAACATGGCAGGTCTCTCCATTCCACCAGGGAAACTGTCAGCATCACTGCCTTGGTGTTGACAAACCCAGGCTCCACATCTCTCTTCATCTGTCTTCTCCCAGCAGCATCTCACCCTCTCCAGCCTGCTCTTCCTCCCCTGACCCTGAAACCTCATCAGGGTTCAGGCCTCTGTCTCTCTCCGTTCTATCTAGAATGGGTCTAGGTTGTCCTTAGCCAGAGCTTAGAAATGGGACCACTGTTTCCAACCTCGCCTCTGCCTCTTTGATTAACTGTGGCCTGTGGGTGGATGGGTGGGCTGCACTGGAGAAAGCCAATGTACAAATATCTAGACTCAACGGACTCCCATACTGTAGACAAACTACACAAGAGTGGTCGTCAGGTCAGTTTTTATAGATGATCTGGAGAAAGTGTCCTGGTCACAGAGGTGCAGAAGAAAAGGGCTGTCACAGTGTACTGAAAGAGCATGGACCTTAATAGAGGATCAGGGCCAAGTGTGACTTTATCCTTGCGCTTTTACCTCTATCTGGCCCTATTACCCCATTTTACAGATGAGGCGTGGGTGCCAAGGGGTAAAGACATGAACCAATTAGCTCTCTTCTCACTCTTGACACTCATCCTAGTATTTGTAACCCCATGTTCAGACTGCACCCACTGTTCAGACAGCTCCTGCTGTTCAGCTGCCTCCACCCAGGGACCGCAGCTCCAGAGGGAAGCAAAGGAAGCCCAGAGTTTGAGAACTCCAGCACATTCCATATCCTGAAACAAATTCTCCCCGTGATGGGGCAGTGGACTGTGGATTGAAACTGGGCTTGCAAGGGGGAGAAGGTTCTTAATGTAACTCCTGCGAATGGCCAACTAACACACTACAGTGTATTCACTCGCAATGATTGTGCAAGGCGATGTTCTTAGTTATGACACAGACAGTTGGGTGTGGTCCTCACTCCATCCCTTGGCAGCTGTTGACTCTGAGCAGGTTCCTTGGTTTCCCCATGTTTAAATCCTCATCTGTAAAATGTGGGTGAGCATACCATCTAAGGTTATAGTGACATCAGATTAAAACAATATATACAAATAAGTCAAAGAACACTTATAGCAGGCAGTGCTAGACAAGGTAAGTATCGGCTCTCATTAGCCAAAGGAATCTAAGGCTTTCCATGAGGGTCTTAGCTCTAAAGTCTTAGAATCAAGCAATATTCTGCAAACCCTGGTGTGCTCTCCGTGTTTCCCTAAGTGGGTTCCATGGGATGCTAGTCTGCAGGCTGGCTAGTGAGCAGAGGGTTCCATGGTTAAATATGTTTGGGAAATGCTGTGTCCTCTGTCCCTGTTGGAGAGTCCTAAGATATTTAACAGCATTAGTGCTTCTGAGGATCTAAGTCATGTTTTAGCAAAGCAGCTTGTTTAACTTTGTTGAAACAGCATTTCCCAAACTCATTTGACCACAAAACCTTTTTGTGTTTGTTTTGTTTTGTTTCTTGTTTTTTGTTTTTGTTTTATTTTTTTGTTTTGTTTTGTTTTGTTTACCTAACACCTATTAGCACCCAGCGGAACACACTGTGGGAAATGCCACGCTAGGCCGTGCGTCGTCCCCCGGAATGGTAATAACACTTTTGCTATTTTAAAGGGGGAAAACCATGATTTCTTTTGCTCTCTGTGGAACTTAGAGTCTAACGTGGGGACTGCTTGCTGGTAGCATAGGTACCCACTGCTAGGGCAGAGAGCGGTGGCACATCTTCCCTTTGAGCTCAGGACTGTCTGTCTCTTCCCCAGCAAAGAGCCTTTCTCCTTCCACTCCCCAGTGACCACCACTTTATAAAGACCCTCTCCTCAACCCTTCTGCTTCTACCTCCTCGCTGGTACTTCTCATCCTTGCTCAGAAAATAATGCTCAGCATCCCCGTGCTGACACAGTAGGAAATGACCACGTCACCATCTCCAGTACTATTATTCATCGGCTACGTGGGCATGATACGCCTCCCGTCTTATCTAGCTCTTTCTCATGGCTTAGGGTAGCAATGCACTAGAAAACCACCAGGAGCTGTAAGTGAAGAAACCTCTGTCATTTGTAATGGCCCCAGTGACTCTGGCAGTGAGTTAGGTCCAGTGTCGTTTGCTGATCCCTGACCACTGAGCGCCCCATGGGCTGAAATGCCTCCAAAGTCACCCTTGGGTTTATATGGATGGGGAAAACCAAAGGAGTTGACTTCTCGTGTTTGGCACTGTTTATGCATTCTCTTCCCTATCCTTTCCCTGTCTCTCACTTGGCCACAGGTAAAGTGTGTGCGATACTGGCCAGATGACACAGAGGTCTATGGAGACATTAAAGTCACCCTAATTGAAACAGAGCCCCTGGCAGAATATGTCATTCGCACCTTCACAGTCCAGAAGGTAAGTTTCCCTTTCTGTGAGTACTCCCTCTTCCAAGTCAGTTGATGGGGCTACTCATCCAGATAGTGGAGACCAAGGGTCTGGTTCGTACCCAGCCACACATTTGACATGATAAACAGAATGGTAATCAGAGTTGATATTGTCATGTAGTGGATTCATCAATTAGCGAGAGAAACAGACTTCAACAGACAATACAGTAGACTAAGGGATATATTGTGATAAGAGCCATAAGGGACCAAAGGATGGAGAGAGGACCTACAGAAGCACCATTACATAGCCCTAAAACTGAAGTGGCTTGTAGAATGCAGAAAATTGGGGGCTGAAAAGGCTCCAGTCAAGGAAAGCATGGGAGGAATAATATCCTTGGCCAAGTGTCAAGAACATAGCGTGGTGGGCAAAAAGAAGCCAGCATTTTCCAGGCTGGGAATCTAGCCAGCATTTCAACCAGGGCAATTTGGTTTTCTGGTGGGTATCTGTCCCTGTCTGAAGGTGTCAGAACATCACAGCTTGAGAGAGGGTGTTTTGTTACTGACACCTAGTGGGTGGAGGCCAGTAGTGCTGCTAGAGAATCCACAACACACAGGATAAAGTCAAAAGAGTGACTGGGACATCACCAATACTTAATATAAATGCCAGCTTTTATTTTCACTACTGCATTCCCAGGCCTCAGTCAAGGAGGCCTCTTCTAAGAAGCCTTCCCAGGTTTCTCCTCCCCTCTAATCTTGTTAGATAATTCCTTTGTACACTCTGGTCAGATGATCGACATAGGAGTCTCCCTCTTCCTCACCCAGTGGAGCCATGAGCTATTCCAGGGGCAGGAGCTGTGGCTTAAATTATCCCTTCCTAGTGCCTAGCGCATGTCCAGGAAAAGATGGCCCTGGGTGAGTATCACTTAACTTGAGATGAACAATAAAGTTGATGTTTCATAGCACCAGCTAAGAATTGCTCTGAATGTCTGCAAGACATGCAAGCAAAGTTCTCATATACATAAAAATAAATAAGTTAATTAACTTTTAAAAGGTTCTTCAAAAAATGACTGGTTTCACATTTCCAGAAGTAACTGAGCTCTTGTGAGCTAACACCCATTAACCCAGCGAGGGCCTCCTTTCCCCATGCAGCAGAGAGGACCATTCCTCAGTACCACAGCCCCTACTCCCCCATGGAGCTCAGGGGGTACATGAGGGCATCAGGTGGAGGAACAGAGTCCCTTTCTCTCCTCAGAAAGGCTATCACGAGATCCGGGAGCTCCGCCTCTTCCACTTCACCAGCTGGCCTGACCATGGTGTTCCCTGCTATGCCACAGGCCTTCTGGGCTTCGTCCGCCAGGTCAAGTTCCTCAACCCCCCAGAAGCCGGGCCCATAGTGGTCCACTGCAGGTGAGTCAGTCCTCCATTCCCATTCTGCAATCAGCTGTACCTCCGGATTTGTTCTCCATACTGTCCCATGGCTTTTGTTTCTTCCTTTAAGATTCCTCCTCCTATAAACCAGAACCCAGCCACCTTCTGAGAAGACCTGGGTCCCTAGTGGCAGTAGGGGTTATGTTACCATTATGAATGTTGTCCCAGAGACACAGTTGGACTCAGCAGCACCTGCCATGCCTGCTATGTAGATCTGGCCAAATTATTTCACTTCCCACCCAAGCTTGAGAATTGAACAGTACCCTCTTACCATTCCCATTTTACAGATGGGGAAACTAAGGCACGGACATGAGAAAGAGGTGGGAAATGTCAAGCCTGGGACAGTTGACATGTTCTTTGGGGCTTCCTAGCAGCAACCTGGCATGGGATATCTTGGTATAAGCATGCATCTCTTCGCTTCCACTATTTTTAAAATCAATTGCTGGCCTGCAGGGTCCCTAATAGAGAGCAAGTGGTCAGCATCAGCTTTCCCTTATTACAGAGACGGGAAATTTTCAGCTTTGACCTAGAAAGTCACATTGAACATAAGTGGCATTGAATCCTCCTAAATGGAGATGAAGTATTGTGTCAAGGGCATTTAGAATTGGAGGAAGGTAGATGTCCAGACCTGAAGGCCAAAGAGTCTGTATTCCCCTCCTTCCTACGCCTCTCTATTTCAGTATGTCCTTGAGCTCAGCATGTCTTCTTCTACCTTGAATGCTCAGGCCGTCTCATCCTTCCTGACAATGTCTGTGTCCGCCAAGAAGTCAGGGAAGACACTATGCATGTCTCAGACCCAGCCCCTCCCTGTGTGAAAATCTCCCACACAGCATCCCTTTGTGTTCTCCACAGTCGTGGAGACACATCCACATTTCAAAGGTAGAAACCTCTGCACTGTCTGGATGTTTGCCATGGATTTTCTGCTTTGCCCTTCATCGTAAGCACAGAGGAAAAGGTGCATTTGTGTTGAAGCCCGATATCCCCAACTGCAGGCGGAGTTCAGGAGGAAGAGAGGAAAGGAGATGATGGCAAATATTCACCAGACCCTCTGCCACGTGCAGTACTGTGTGTGATGGCCTGTGCCTGCATCTCCATAACAAGACACTGTAAAGCATCTAAGCAAAGTGGTACCTACTCCTGGAGCTGTTATGGTTTGGCTAATGCACACTAAGTGTCTGAAAGAATTCTTAACATAATAAGCCCTTAAATCCACCACTCTTGCTGCCTCTTAAGGTCATCCAGCACCCCAGGTGGGGTTAACAAATTCTTTCAGACAGGAAATGTGTCTTGCTCATCTTCCTATGCCTACTCTTAATCTTGGCATCCAGGGCATCATGGATGCTCTGTAAATATTTGTGGATTACAAGTAGCCAGGCACAAAACTGAGCAATTTACATGCATTATACTTCTAAAATATAATGTAATGCAATTTACGTATATTGTACTATTAATACTAAGAGGTATACGGCCACTTTTATTTTATGAATGAGAACAGTGAAACCCATAGAGATGAAGTCATTTGTCCAAGGTCACACAGTTAGTCAGTAACAGAGCCAATATTTAATCTCAGGGATCTCAAATATCACGTGTCTAACTACTGTCTTATTCTAGGAAAAAAATACACACACACACACACACACATACACATATACATACACATGAATACACACACATACCCACACAAATACATACACATATATACACACATACACACACATACACATTTATACACACATACACATATACATACACATGAATACACACACACATACACATATACATACACATGAATACACAAACATACCCACACAAATACATACACATATATACACACACATACACATTTATACACACACATATACATACACATGAATACACAAACATACCCACACAAATACATACACATATATACACACATACACATTTATACGCACTACATATACATGAATACACACACACAGCTTAGACTTTTCAAAAACTCTTCTAGGAGGCACGAACTGAGACTCACAAACACCAGACACCTTACTCTCTCATACTGTAGACCTTACTCTCGGATACACTAGCCTAGATTGAAAACTAGTGATGCTGCTTCATTCCCATGTGATATGTTGAAGATGCGGCTTGGGGAACAGATGAGTGTGTGTGTGTGCGCACGCGTGCACGCATTTTAGTAGACCTCTTCCCAGGCTCCTGAACCCATTCTATTGAGTCCCTTTTAAATGGGTCTGGAGTGCACTGGGGACAGGTATTTTGAGGCATGAGTAAGGCAAGCTCCACTCAGTTCAAGCCATGGTGGTTTATCAGTGAAGACTGCTCCCAAGGGTTTGGTTTCCAGATCACTAATGTGCGGGTCCCTGCTGGCCTAGGCTTCTTGGACCTATCAGCCAGTGATGCTTTTGTATTTTATTCCATCCATTTCCTTGCATTTCCTTTGATTTCTGCGTTGTTCAACAAAGACGTTTGTTTCCATGGGGTAAGTAAAGGGTGAAACCACTGCCAATGTGGACTTCCTTGACTCTCTGCCCTCCTTTCCATTCCAAAACTGTGCACAGTGCAGGCCAGTGTTTTATGATTCAGCCCTATTGTTTGATAACCCAGAGTTGATCTGGGGAGATCTGGCTGTGCTCCAGAGGTTCTTGTGAAATCCTCTTGCCATTTTCTGTCTGATCCTATTAAAGCAAGTCAGTAATCAGAAGCTGATCATATGTCAGAGAACCTGGTGCCTGATGAGGATCTCGAGATGATGATGTGCCTGGCTCATGTCCCTGAGGAAGTCAGCACAAATGGGTCAAGTGCAAGGCCTTGAATAGGGGACACCAGATCAGCTCTCTGCCTTTGACACAGCTCGGGCTCTCTGATCTCTGCTCTCTCACTCATGTCTTCCCTATAACCTCTGCCCTCTTCTTAGTTCTGTCTACCAACCCATTTGCTGACATGAAAAAGGGCACATGAAAGAAGAGGAGAGAAAGGGAAAAGACATATTTACCAGGAAGGTTCTAGTATGCCAGGCATTAATAAGTGTTTTACACTGTACCACCTGGACTATATCCATTAGATATGGAGCCTACAGGCACACCTACTATGAAATCTTGCATTACACGTTATAAATCTTATTAAGAAAGGTAGTAGAAATTCTAGACTGCCTGGGGGAACGCTCGGCTCTCCCATTTGCCGGCTCTATGACGTCAGGCTCTAAGCTCTCTGTGCCTCAGCTTCTCACCTATGAAATAGGGTAAGACATGTCTCTATCCCCTCATAGGGAAGTCCATAGACATATTGGTAAAGCACAACAATTAATTAATTGTAAGCACTTAATTAATTGTAAGCATTTGCTAAGTAAGTACAATAAAGTAAATCCCCCAAAACAACCACAGTGGTAAACATTACTCTCCCATTTAATAAAGAAAATTGTGATCACTTGTTCAGCATAGCCGAGGAATTTGGAGGTTCCAACCCTTCCCTCTGACTTCTACAATACACAGTCTTTTACCAAGGCTTTCGAGACAGGGTTAGGTGGTAGGGGCCTTGTCACCCTATTTCATCCCATCTTTAGATCCCTAACACACAGCAAACTTCTCTTCCAGTGCTGGAGCCGGGAGGACTGGCTGCTTCATTGCTATTGACACCATGCTCGACATGGCTGAGAATGAAGGGGTGGTGGACATCTTCAACTGCGTGCGTGAGCTGCGGGCACAGAGGGTCAACCTGGTGCAAACAGAGGTTAGTCCTAGGGCACCCAGTCAGCTAGTTTACTGATAGCTTGGCCAAAGAGAAGCGTGGTAGGACAGAGGCTCAGTAGTGGAGAAGTCATACAAAAAGGATGTACCTTCACAAGTATTAGTACAGAATGAATACGTAGCTTGCTCTGGTGAGATGTCCCAGCCAATCCTGAGAGTCTATGGTGCACAAACTTTTGGTAGCAATAACTGTTGAATCCTCTATCTCTGCAGTCATCCAAGTAAGACTGAATGGCAGTTGTCAGGTATAATAGTCTAGCCTTTGGTGCAGGGATGGAGAGGAAGAGGGAGTACTGGTACTGATGGAATGCCTGCTCTGTGCCAAGCGCCCAGTCATTCCTTGATGGAAATAGCTTCATCAACAAAGTACACTTCTTTAAGGTTTATTTATTTTATTTTATGTGTCTGAGTGTTTTGCCTTTATGTATGTAAGTGCACCACATGAGTGCCTGATGCTCACAGAGGTCCAAAGACTCTGTTGGAACTCCTAGAGCTGGAGTGACCATAGTTATGAGCCACCATGTAGGTGCTGGGAACCAAACCCTGGTCTTCACTAAGAGCAGCAAGTCCTCTTTACTACTGAGCCATCTCTCCAGCCCAAAGTTCCTGAGAACTTTGACTTGACCTAGGGGCTATGGATTGCTAGAGAGGCATATACAACCCTTAACCTCGAGGAAAGGCAGATGCCCAGGTTCCTTTCTGTCTAGCTAGAGAGCCCAGTCTCTGAGGATAATGTAAGTTAGGCTGTCTGAACTGTTGTCACCTACAGTGGGCCAAGAAATGCACATTATTGTGTCTAGGATCCTTCCCCTACTCTTCACATCCCATGGTATGTCTCCTTCTCACATCTCCACTCTATCCGTGGGAAGGACATCAAGAAATTATATACTAAGTCTTCATATGGATGAAGACCAAGTGGTTTGTCCTGAACCACTCTCTCTTGTTAATCAGGTTTTCTCTCTATCCCACTCCTGAATGCCTTGGGTTGTTGTTCGTGCATTGGGTTCACCTTTTGGTTCTAGTAAAAACTGTGGATGTCCTAGCAGATCTAGAAGCCGTGGGAGCTGCACTCGTACCAGCCCTGACATCCGTGGCTCTAGGTACAGCAGTCCCTGCAATGCTCATCGAAAGCTTCATCACACTGGACTCTGCTGCAGGCTCTGAGAAGCTCACAGGCTAATTCCCAAGCCTATAACACTAGAGCCAAGATGACTGCACTATCTGTGCTTAAGGCCATGCCTGTAGAGGACAGTTAAAGTAGGCAGAGTCCGACACATGACCCTCACTGTCGGGCATGGAGACATACTTAGATATAAATATATCAAGATAAGTTCAAATAAAACACTTTATTTAAAAGGGTCAAATTTTTGTTGAATGATGCGCAACAAATACTTATAAAGACCCACAATTAACAATAAACTTATGTTCAGTAGATTTAAAGGCATTCTGGTGGTTGAGTGGGAAGTGGGATGGGAAGGAAGTGAGAGAACACTAAATATGCTCCAGGAAGTAGGAAGAAAGTCCTCCCCAAAGAAAAGCAGGTTTTCTGCAGCAAGCGGCTTCTGGATGAAAGCTGGGAACATGAGCAGAACCTCCAGGGCGGCTACAGTGACATGTGCTCGAGTTTCTCATTCTTATCAGTGGCTCAGCTGTTCCATCTTATACACGGGCAAAAACGCTCCATAGCTCAATCACCGTGAAACACGGTGACTTAGACCTTTGGGTTACAGGATATAAAACTAAGGATTCTGCAGAATAAATCATGTCCTTTTCTCATTGCTACAAGATTCATTCGATGTGGACAAAATGCTCGCAAACAGCGGTCCTCACCTGGAGCGCTCTTCCCCTCCTCTTGACCTTGCAGGAGCAGTATGTGTTCGTACATGACGCCATCCTGGAAGCATGCCTCTGCGGCAATACCGCCATCCCTGTGTGTGAGTTCCGTTCTCTCTACTACAACATCAGCAGGCTGGACCCCCAGACTAACTCCAGCCAGATCAAAGATGAGTTTCAGGTATGGGCAAAGCCAAGGTCCAGGGACTTAGCTGCTCTGTGATGTCCTAACAATGTTCCATCGTCTGGACGACTTATATATGCTTCTGGAAGCAGTGAAGCCCAAAAGCAAACAGCCAGCAAATCTAGTATCTGGGGAGGGCTCAGACATCAATGTAGTTTGTGAGTGGCTGCGTCCTTAGAGTTTCATATGGTGGAAAGCGGAGAAGCAAACATGCAAACACTTGTGTGTCTTTCCATAGGGACACTGATCCCATTCATGAAGACTCCACACTGATGATGCAATTACTTCCTACAGCCCCCACCCCCTCCTCATCTGCCCCATTGGGAGCTGGTATAGTAGCATCTGTGTGCGGGGAAATGTATGCATTCAATCTATAGCAATGACCCAAGCAACTTAATTCACATTGTGGGCCTTTCTTGATGAGATTGATGTGTGTGTGTGTGCTTTCAAGCCTAAAGTGCCCAGCAGCTGTGGAGAGCTTTTCACACCATCAGATTGCACAGTCATTAGCAACTATTAGCCAATCACTCAATGACGGCTGACACTTGTTTTTGTGCTGTGATTATGCTATTGAACTGAGGTCTTGGTTAATTCTTGTTGATGTTGTGGAATGGACAGAAGTTTACGCACTGATGTTGGTGTGAATTTCAAGCTTCTTTGACTCTGGAGAGACTGTACCCACCCCCACCCCCGCCCCAGTGTTCTCTCCACAAATTCTTTAAACCCATCATCTGGCCTTGGGTGCTTGTTGGAAATGAAGATTCTTGGGTCCCACCCAAATCTACTGAATTAGAACGTGCAATTTAACAGGATCTCAGGGGCATTTATTTATGTGTAAGATAAGCTTTTAACTATCTTACAGCATGGCTCAGATATGGCAGATTCACACGTTGGAATCCGGATGGTCAAAACTAAAGCTCTGATTTGAGAGGCCCAGATATAAATGACTGAGCAGAGAACTAAAGACCTGAACATGGATCACCAATAAATGCTAGAATTCAGACCTTTATCCATGGCCAAAACCTGAGTAATGGAGCTGTAAGAACTGGGCAGGAAGAAACAAGCAAATCCCAGGCTCAAAGTTTTCCAGTCAGGCTAATATTTTAGGAATCATTTAAACAAATAATCTTTGTTGTCTCAGAGACAGCATGCCAAGTGACAGAGAGAGGAAAGGCACAGAACCCTGGTCATTGCACACAGGACCTTCTATTGGCTGGAGCAGCCATGGTCCCTCACTGGGTGAGAACTTGCTCTACAGAGCACAAGCCTTATAATTTTGTAGACCTACTAATTTGCCCCACAAGGACCCTTGCCCACCCTGAGGAGGGCATCCTAGCATCCATCCATCCTCCTACAACTGAGACACTTCCATCTTTGAGAAAAGTGCTGGAAAAATCACTTCCTTCTTGCCTTGGCACTTCAAGTGGTGTTAAACATTCATTAGAGACTCTCAACGCCATTCCCTGCCATATGCCCTTCTGGCTGGCCCTCCTTTAATGCTGTGCTAGCTCAGCTGAACAACAGTTCAAATGGTTGGCAGGTGTTGTCAGCCCATGTCTTAGCCCGTGTATGGGCATGCTGCACCTGCAGCCTTGGCATCTTGAAGGTGTCACAAAGCTCCTGGAAAAGTCTCTTAGCACAAAAGTCCTGTGCCTATATGCAGGATATAAAAGACTATCACGGTCATGGGAGAAGCATGAGTGCAGGGAAAACAATGGCAGGGTCAAGCTTGGAGGGTAAAGACCGGCGAGTTAAGCTAAACTGGGATATCTGTCTCCTTTGCTCAGACACAGCCTCCTGTGTATTACTCCTCCACTCCTTTATATGCCCCACAGACACTCAACATTGTGACACCCCGAGTACGGCCTGAGGACTGCAGCATCGGACTCTTACCCCGGAACCATGATAAGAATCGGAGCATGGATGTCCTGCCTCTGGACCGCTGCCTGCCCTTCCTCATCTCAGTGGATGGAGAGTCCAGCAATTACATCAATGCAGCACTGATGGATGTAAGCTGAGCCCTGGCAGGAAGGCCCTGGCTGCCATTACAGAAAAGGCTTTTCCCCAAGGTGGAGATGGCTGAATCCCAGAACCTTGACCCTACTGGTCACCTTGTTTCTAACTGCTGGCCTTTGAAACCATTTCCCCCAATTCCCTCCTCAAGCCTCATGTCGAAACCCAAGTTCATTGTGTGCTTTTAGCTCTTTGACTTAAAGAAGGTGGAAAGAATAGATCAAACACTGAAGAAAAAAAATCCCAAGCTCAAGTCGATAGTTCTGTCGTGCAAGATGCTGTGTCCCACAGAAATGGCTCAGCCAGAAGTTCAGGTCTGGCCACATTCCCCAGAGTTTGAGACCTCAGGAGATAAGATGCGGTGTATCCTCTTGGGATCCCTGCTGGAATTTAGTCCCTCAGATAATTCCTTTGTGAGGCAAAGAGGAAGAAAGCACACAGTAGATGATCAGTAAATGGCTAGCGGGCAGTGATTGGACATATTAAAAGAATCAAGAAGAGAAACAGGCCATGGACCTTAAGGCATCAACTGCTGCTTCCTCAACAGCATGTCCAGTGTTCCCATTCCTCTGCCTCACACGTCTCCCTCCTGGGTCTTGGGGCATCTTTTAGCTGTTATCATTGCACCTTCAGGATACACAGATGCTTGCAGTGCTATGGCCCACTGACTAAACTGTCTGTCTCATCCATGCTCCTTTCAGCAGGAGAGACTCAGTCAGACTGAGGAGGATTTGCTCAGGGTATCATAGAGAGCTGGAGCTAGACTTAGAGTTCCCAGCTCCCACCCTAGAAAAAAGATACTATAGGGTCAATACCCAGCTAAGGTGTAAAAAATCCTTCCCTGGCTTTGGCTCACAGGTGCTTATATTTTCCATGGAAGCCTGGCTGAGTGCAGAAGCAGGGAGCCTTTGTGTGGATCGTGTTAAGTAGCTGGAATTGCTGAAAGAGGAAGACTTCTGATATTAGCTTAGGGTCACCTTCTAAGATTTTTCTATTGCTCCCTTTCTGTCTGTCTGTCTGTCTCGCCCTTTTTTATCTCTCTCTCTCTCTCTCTCTCTCTCTCTCTCTCTCTCTCTCTCTGTGTGTGTGTGTGTGTGTGTGTGTGTGTGTGTGTGTGTGTGTGTGTGTGAAGACACGGTTCAGAGATAAACCCATACTTTCATGCTCCTCCTGCCATTATCCCCCATCACCCCAGCATCCTTTCTTACTGCTTTTTTCATCCAAGCAAGGATCAAGGAAGCTCTTGGACTCTACTTCATAGGTGAGATGCTGCCTGGAGTCAAATACTTTCTGCCAAGCTCTGGTTCCGATTGTATTCTCTTTGTCCACGGGGCATTTCTCTTGTGAGCCATCACTGAGGCCTTTGCTTTTCTTATATTAAAAAAAAATTCCTTATCTGTATTCCAGCCCAGTCTGTGCATTATCTGGTAACCATAGCAGCTTTGCCTCTAGCAGAAAAATATGAAGTCCTCTGGGTTAATTTTTAATGTTTCCCTTGGGAACGGATGATGTTATCCATGAAATGGATTGCTGGCTGATCCCTGAAACCCGGCAGGAGCACAGATCTCGAACATATTTTCAGATAAGACTTTGTCAGGCGTGCTGGCCTAATAGAGCATTTATCACAGAGACAGGGAAGCAAAGAAAACTAACATTCGCTGCATGTTGGGCACCATGTTGGGCTCTGGACTTGCATTGTCTCGTTCTGCCCTGGAGTATTACTGTCCCCATTTTTTGGAGATCTCCTGAGGGTCAAAGGATCTACATCACCTGTTCAAAGTCAACTGGCTTTGAAATGATGGCACCAAGGACCAGAACCATGTGACAACTGTCTTGAAAGTCTAATTTTATTTTATATTTTATGTATCTAATTTTATTTTATTTTATATTCTAATTTTATTTTATGTTTTATGTGTATGAATGTTTATATATCATGAGTGTGCCTGAACTGCAGAGACCAGAAAGAGGTTGTGTGTGCCTGGTGCCTGCAACTCCCTGGAATTGGAGCTATAGACAATTGTGAGCCTCCATGGGATGCTGGGATTGAACTCAGGTCCTCCGGTAGAGCAATCAGTGCTCTTAACTGCTGAGCCATCTCATTAGCCTTAGCCTGGATGTAGTTTTGAAAGTTTGGAAATGGCAGAAAGGCCATGCTAACATAGTCTTTCAGCTTTGAGAGATGTAAAGGGTCTATCCCCTGGTACCCTTTGTTAAATCATCTACTGGCTAATAGAAGGCCCCAGGAAACAGTAGTCCCTAATGTAATACATGTCTGCAAAGCCTTGCCATGCTATTTCCAAGGTCTCTGTCCTTCTTCTCTCCCCCACTTCCTTCTGACTTGTGACTCTAGTTAAGCGGCTCTGACTCCTCCTCGGAGAAGCTACCCAGAAAACATGTTGAAGCATCATCTGGTTCATTGGTTTCACCTGCTATTGATGAAGTAGAAACACCCCCCACAATCTTTCCAAATACTTCCCTCCCGAGGTGGAATGGCACATGGGGCCCAAGTGAAGCTTCCAGGCTTACACAGGGCATTTTCCCCCTAGGCCTCAAGGTCTTATCTGTAATACAGGAAAAAGTAAGATCTTTCCAATTGCTGTGGTTGTGATTGTGTCTATTGTGTTCCAACCACAATGCTAGTGCTGAGGAGGAAAACCTAAGTCAAGAGTATCTCTACCTGCAGTGAACTTGCTTACTACTTTTTTAAGGTTTATTATTATTATTGCTGGTGTAAGGTGTGTATGTGTGTGCAAGTGGTTATGCACGCATACGTGAGTGTGGTGCTTGTAAAGCCAAGAGGCGTCGGATCCCCTGGAATTGGAATTACACATAGTTGTGAGCTGTATGATGTATGTTCGGGTCTCTGGAATAGCAGCAGGTGCTCTTAACCATTGAGCCATCCCTCCAGTCTTAGTTGCCAAGATTTTCTCTTGTTTTTTTTTTTGCTTGTTTTTTTTTCTTTGCTTGCAAATGTTGTCTATTCTACAACAGCCATCTCTTTAGATTTGAGCTGCTTTTCTAGGAAAAGAGTCTAAGCTTTGAAATCATCTAATGATTCACCAATGCTTAGTACCCAATATTAAAAACATGAATGGCTAAAAAAATGGGTGAGTAGTGCTGGATGGATAAACAGATGGGTGAGTCATAATTTACAAGGGGCAAAACGGTGTTTGAACCTCAGGTCCACATGACTCTAACACCTGACTGCCGTCTACCACTTTGTTGGCTAAAGGGGACAATGCCACCTCTAGCCAGGCTAGCTCAGCTCTCAATTAAGGGCAGAAGTGATCCATGTAATCTCTGCCCCCTCCGGGGTCATTGGTCCCCTTTTCAGCATCATAAGGACCTAGAACTCGTGGGATCCCTGCTCTCCCAAGAGGTGAATTGGTCAGCAGTACAGAAAACCTACATCCAGGATGTTTCGTTTCATATTGTGATGATGATTTGCTGAGCTGCAAGACATAAATAATTTATTTGGATAATCCCCATCCAAGTGACACTTTCCTAATGAAATGTCTTAGTTTGGAGGAGAATGTGTTCATTATGAGAAGGTCCCCTCTGCCGCCAGGGTACCGAGAGATAACAGAGCAGGCAGGTGCTATGTGAAATCTATTTGGCAGGCTCAGGGCCTCTGGCAGCCATCCCGGCCTCATCATGATCAGAATATCACTGACGGGTATGTATTTGACTAAGCCTGTGTCATTCCTTTGTCAGAGTCACAAGCAACCTGCTGCCTTTGTGGTCACCCAGCACCCTCTCCCCAACACTGTGGCAGACTTCTGGAGACTGGTGTTCGATTATAATTGTTCCTCTGTGGTGATGCTGAATGAGATGGACACTGCTCAGGTAGGAGGGGGTGTGGGGCTGCTGTTGGTGGGTCCCAGTGGATCATAATTAGTAGACTGGCAAGGAGACTTTATGATACCCCAAAGATGGGCACTGTCAGACTGCGAATGCCAGGCACACCCATCCTCCTGCCTACAGAGGCAGGGAGTCTCCCACTGAATCCTTCACCACAGACTCCCATAAATTAGTCCCCTTGTCTATGGACTTTGTCTAACTATAAGGACAGGACCCTGTTGTTCCTGCCTCCGACACTGGTTATAGCCTTACTCTAAATCATGAAGAGCTCAGAAAACCAAGATCCCACACAACACTAAGTGCCAGCCCCAGAGGCTCTTCACCATTTGGCCTCTGCTGGCAGAAGCTGGAGTCTGAACCTAGGAAGCTTTGCTCACTGACCACCCAGCTAAGCCTTGACTTCGTGCCTTAGCCCCTCTGGTGTTGTAATAGGAGCGGTGGGGCTGCATCCCCGGCACCCGGCCGCCCACATGGCTAGCTCTAGCTTATGCCCTGAAATAATTACACAGAAACTGTATTCTTTTAAACACCGCTTGGCCCATTTCTATCTAGCCTCTTCTAGGCTAGCTCTCGCACCTGGACTAGCCCATTTCTAATAATCTGCTGTAGCCCACGAGCTGGCTTACCAAGAATGATCTTAACCTGTGTCTGTCTGGAGTGGGAGAATTATGGCGACTCCTTGACTCAGCTTCTTTCTCCCAGCATTCTGTTCTGTTTACTCCTCCCACCTATGTTTTAACCTATGAGGGCCAAGCAGTTTCTTTATTGCTTAACCAATGAAATCAACAGATTGATATATGACACTCCCACATCACTGTAGGTCTTTGTGTGTCTACAATTCCCCACACCTAAGACATAGGACACTATCTTAGGACAGTCTCTGGAGACCACCATTATATGGCAAAACAGCTCTTCTAGGGTAGGTGAGATGAAGGTGGCCTTTCAGAGTTTTGCAGTTATCTTTTCAGGGCCTTGAAGGAAGCCCAAAGTCATTCAGTACACTCTTCTGTGAGTGCTGGCCTTGCACAGGCCTTGGGTGAGGATCATTTTTTTTCCCAAACGGGGCTGAGCTATAGTCCCAGAGACAGTTGAGCGAGTTATTCCAGGCTTGTGTGGCTGTGCTGTAATAGAGGTCAGCAATGAAGTGCCAGGTTGACCTAAAGCAGGGAGCAATTCATTCTACCCAGAGGGTGGGGGAAGAATTCAAAGGGAAGGCGACTTGGACCTTGAAGGGGGCAGGGAAGATCTGGTCATACTGGGGATGGATGGCTGGGTAAAGGCAATCTACATGGAGGTGAGGCAGATGGACATATAGAGGCTTGTTTGTAGTCAGCTTCAGTTCCAGTGCTCTAGGGCTGTGTCCAGAGGGAAAGAGAGAAGTAAGGCTGGAAAAGACAGCAGGGCTCAGTCAGCAGGGAAGTTCCTTGTGCTGTGCTCAGGAGCCTGGGCCTTAGACTTTTAAAGCATTGATAGGATGGGATTGTTGGTTATAAGTGACAGGATCCTTTCTACCGATAAAATTTTTATACAAACCTAGTGAATGAAGGAGGAATACTCAAAATCTGGGCATATTAAAGCAGGAGATGAAGGCAAAACGTACTGCTCACACTGGTCTTTCATCTGGCCTGATAGCTCTTAGCTAGTCTGTCATCTGGATCTCTTTGCAGTATCCATGGGTTCCAAGATAATTAGGAAAACATTGTTATACATCAGGGGTTGTCCTAAGGTTTCCAACTTGTGTTAGAAAATGGAGTCCAGGATCAGAGCACACAGACATGGGAATCAGAGACTGGAGAGAAAATGTGGCTTATATTCATCAATTGAAGAGGAGATCTGAGCAGAGAAAGTAGCCAGGTCAAAGCAGAACTTGGACTAGATGTGAAATCATTTCCAGTGTGACATCCGCACACTTCAGGGAACAGTTGTATGTGGATGCGGATGTCATGGATGGTGGCAGGCAGGTAGCTTGTTTAGATGAGCAGGTACCCAGGAAGCACATGGCCAAAATGGAAAGGCAGGAAGATGGGAGGGGTGAGTATGGACAAGAGCAGAGTAGAAGGGGATGAAAATGAGTGTGTGCTGGAATGTGTCCATGAGAGATATCCAGAAGAGGTTCCCTTCATTCACACATCCCATATTCCGTGAGCATCTGCTACTGCTATTTGCTGGAAGCTATTCTAGGTTCTTGGAATGCATCAGTGAGCCACACAGATAAGGTGAGGCAAGAATGTTCCTGTCTCCTGTGCACTTCCAATTCTAAAGGGGGGAGACCAACCATAAACAACAAATGCTCTATAATGAATTTGATCATATATTGGGACGTGAGGAGAAGGAAGCACAGAGAATATTTTAAAATTGGGTTGAGGCACGAGACACAGATGTACTAGAGTAGTCAAGGAAAGACTTGGAAGTATGTGAACACAGAGCTGAAGGAGGCTCGAGAGCAGGCCGCGTGCTCCTCCTGGGGAACAGTGTTTCTGGCAAAGGGAACTGTGTATCCAGGCAATAGGGTAGGAAAACAAGTGACACACTCAAGGAACAGCATAGTATTCTGAGGCCAGAGAGATGGGGAGAGCTGCAGGCAATGGTATCAGAAGAGTAAGAGGGTTACATGCCACGGGCAACCTTCGTGATCATAGGGAGACCTTGGAACTTCATTCTGCACAGGATAGGAAGACACAGACAGATTTGCCAGAAGGGTGACACCGCTTGACTTTTGAAAGTGCAGGGAATAGCAATAAGAATAGTCAGGTGCAGGCGATAGTGACTTGAGCAGGTTGGTAGCATGGTGTAGACTCTGCATGTATCCCAAAGGGAGGAAGACAAACCGCTGCCTGATGAAGAGGGGAGGTAAAGGAGAACACTAAAGTTTAGGCCATGCAGAATTGAGAGGATTGAGAACAGAGATAACAGTAGGAAAAAGTAAATTTCTCCTAAAAGAGAAATTCTAGAAATTCCTCTATCAAGTTCTAGAATCAAAAATTATCACCACCTGCTCTTCTGTTTGGACAAGTAAAGCAACAACTCACCTTTATGACGTGTGAGTGAGATGGGACCACAAAAGCTCCCCATGCGCTCGTTAAAGTTGTTTCTTAATGGCAGAGTGCTTGACCAACATCCATGACCCTCTAGGTTCGAACCCCAGTAGATGGATGAAAGCATGCATGCATGTTCTTCTCTTTATCCAACACCTACTTTGCAAAATTGGAGCTTGGGAACAGACTGGCGATTGTGAAGAACCTTACCTTGGGGCATAGAATGTCAAGGTCACTGACTGTATTTCCCCCTTTTCAAAAATAGATCCTTGGTGAATGATAGCTCTTTCAAGCCCAGATGTTGGTGCTGCAAAGCCAGTTTGAGTCTCTGAATGTAAAAACATCAGGCTCAGAAGCACCCCAAGGTTGGCTGCCATACACAGCTGGCAAATATCCCCTGAAATCGGCAGATGAATAGAGCACTTATTGATATAAATATCATCACCACAGCAGCTGGGAGCCTTACAAAAATAAGCAGCGTTATAGCGTGAGCATCAGAAAAGCCGCCTTCAGCACCTGGAGGGGCGGTTCTTTGAAGTGGTGTGAACATTTGCCTGCTAGCATGCTCCTGCCAAGGCAGCCCAGCATGTGGGCCAGGCCAGCAAGGTGGACAGGATTGCTTCGCTCCTAAGTATCTCTCAGTTGCTCCTAAGAAAACTAACAGCACAACCTGAGGTTTGACTATGCACTCCTGTTGGAGGGTGGTCACATTACAGGTACGGTGCAAGAAGATAAGGACAAGGAGAGATTGTGAGCTCTTGGGAGCCTTCATTTCCTTGTACTGCTGTGGATATCGTCTACCTTTGCTCTGAATCCTATGCTTCTTCTTTGAATCGGCCATCTGCAGCCACAATATTGTTTTCCAAGTAGAAGCTGATCAGTGAACTGGGATCCATGAGAGATATTGATAAAGATTCTCAAACCTCTGCCTTCAGTCCTAGATTTTTTTCCTAACTCTTTAAGACTCTGGGAGCTGGGAAGTAGCTTGCTGGATAAAGTTCTTGCTCTAGGACCTAGACACAACAGAAGACCAAAGAAGCACCCAATCCTGCTCGTCCCCATGAGGCACATGTTGTGGCAGGAGATGAATCCTTTTCAGGCTGTCTTCAACCAAAAGTAAAACCCCTCTAAAGTGAAATCCGTAAGAGGCTTGAGGGGCAGAAAGACCCAGAGCAGAAGGGTGGTGGAGTTTGTATTCGGGGAAAGGGGAAGAGGTGGCATATCACATTGCCCTCAAGATCTGTGACAGTAGGAAGAATCACAGTAAAAAGGACCAGTTTTATCAGCCTGGAATCAGATTTGGGGATAGCCAAGCTGATAGCTATCCCCACATTAATAAATACTTGTGTTTCCAGTTCCCTTGAATATTAGGTTGCTTCAGAGTATGGGCAACTTCTCCTAATTTTGCTTGTTGCTAATACTAGGGAACATTTAGTTCCCTAGTATTAGCAACAAGTTCCCTAGTATTTATCTTGTTCAAATTTGAGAGAATTTTGTATTCCAAGTTGCCTTTCAACATTTCCCAAGGTTTCCCTCTCTGCATGTCATAGTTGGTCACCTTTCTTCTATTGCTCCATGGGCTTTTACTGTCTCAGCGAGCTTCTGTTCTGTAGACCGCGTGCATTCTAGATGACAGAATAATCCTCATTTTGCTTTCAAAGACTTTGGATGTAGTTCAGTGAATTTCCCTGCTAACTTTGTAGACACTACTTTGGAAACCATTGTTTCCTTCTTGTATATCTGGAAGCCAAGGCGTAAGCAGGGAAGCAATGTTAACAAGATCACCTGGCCCATCATGAACTTTTTGCCTATGACCTCCTGGCAGGGATAATGGAGATGTTTATACCAGTTAGAGACATATTTCCAGGTCCTGGTTCCTGACTATCACCCAGAAGACAGTAACATTTTCTTACAGTAAAGCAAGAGCTTATGGCTTATATAGAAGTTTAG